CGAGCGCGCGTTTTAAGACACAGAAGCAACCTGGTGACTGTGTACTCTGTGTGCAACATTCCAAAGATCAAGCCACTAATCGTCCTCCTTCTATCTCTTTTCTCTTCCTGTCTCATTCAGGGCACCTTGGAGCTGGGCGATCAACGCGTCTCGCTGCAATACAGTCACAAGCGGATCACCGATTGGCATTGCGTTAAGGTGAGAGGGAAGCTAAAGAAGTCAAGTCTGAAACTATATAAATAAAATTCCCTATTTCTTCCAGTGTGGCGTCTTCAATTTCAAGCGGCGCTTCTCCTGTTTTCGCTGCATGGCATCGCGAGCGGAAAGCGAAAGCATTTTCTCTGGTGGCGGCGAGGGCATCGATGAAGTTAGCCCAATTCTAACCAAAAGTATAGACAGAAATCATAATTTAGAAAAGAAATTGTAATCAATAATAACCTCCCATCATTTGAATGCAGAGATCATGCTGCGGAATCTGGATGCGCTGACCAACGAGGAGAGCGTGCTAACTGCGTTGCAGAAGGTGCTGCCGAAACAGGCCAAAACAATCAGCAAGGTGCTCATCAGTCGCGATACGCTGACTCAGACTTCGCGTGGCATTTGTTACTTACATTTCGAGACTCTCGTCGATTCGATGGAGGTGCACAATGCGCTGACATCGCTGGACCCGCCGCTGCGGATCGATGATCGTGATGGTGCGTGGCTAAGCCCAGCGGCAATCAATTGCAACCAACACTTGCTTAATCTAAACTCTTATTTGTAGTCTGCATCAGCTACTGCATGGATGCAGAGAATCGTCAGCCAAAGGATGCGCAAGGAGCCAACAGCCAGGTCGGCGCCCTTCAAGGTGGCGCCTTGGACGCTATGCCGCCTACCGATGCTGGCGGCGTTTATACCTTAGCCGATGTGCCACGCCTCGCCGAGTATAGTGCCTCGCTGTATGCCTCCACGCCGGCGGAACATGCGCATTATGTGCAGTATTATACGGATTACTATATGGCCGAGATTAAGAAGGGCGGCGGTCAGTTCGGCGGCGGCGAGACCCAGTTGACGGAGGCTAATTCAGGCGCTGCGGTTGCCCTCTCCGCCATACAGCGCAAGCAGAAAAAGATGAACAGTATTGAGACGACGGCCACAGCGGCGGCCACGGCGGCCGCTCAGGCAGCTGCTGCCGTAAAGGCCACCTTTGCGGCTCAGAATGTGATTGCGCCTCGAGGAAATGATGGCAAAACGTATCGTGAGTGGATCAATTTGAATATCTATATATAGGCTAATCAAGTATGGAGCAGGCTCCAATACGTTTCACATTTGATTAGCTGTTTCTCGAGGAATTCAGTTATTCACATCGATATCTCTCCCTCTCTATAGCCACGCCCGATGTCTCGCGCTATCAGTACGACGAGACGTCTGGCTACTACTACGATCCCAGCACGGGCCTCTATTACGATGCCCACTCGCAATACTATTACAACAATGAGACGGGCGCCTATTTGTATTGGGATCAAAGACGCAGCACTTATATACTAGCCACGCCAGCCTCCACACAGGCTGCGCTGCAGGAGTCGCTGGCGCAGGAAGCCACACAAGCCGACAAGGACGAGGAGTCGAGCAAGAAGGATAAAAGCAAAGACAAAGACAACAATAAGCACGACAAGGTCAAGGTGGCCAAGAAGATTGTCAAGGACATGGAGAAGTGGGCCAAGCAATTGAATCAGAAAAAAGACTATACGGTGGTGGCCACACCACAGCCCATACTGCCAGGACGCGGCGATCCTGGCGAGGGGCCGAGCACTTCACGCGCTGCAACTGGCGCCTATGCAGACGTAGGCTTCTCTATATTGGAAAAGAAGGAGCGTGGTAAGCTGAGCGATTATGTACCAGCTGTGCCACCAATGAACAAGCTAGTAAATGCCTATGGAGGTGGCTCCGATTCGGATGAGGATAATGGAGGTGCAAGCGCAGGTGCGCAGGCTGCCGGCCCTGTCGATGAAATGGACTATGTTGACTTCCAGAAACTCACCTGTCTGCTGTGCAAGCGTGCCTTCCAATCTCACGACATACTGCAGAAGCATTTAAAAATGTCCAATTTGCATAAGGAGAATTTGGCTAAATTAAATGCGGGCAGCGCCGCCGGCGCCAGCAGCGAGGATGCAGCGAGCGCGGGCTTATCGTAAGTGTAGATACTGCCTATCGCTTATCGTGTATCGAATTCAATTTATTTATATCCGAATAGCTATCGTGATCGCGCCAAGGAGCGACGTTTAAAATACGGCGAGGGTGATCCTCCGCCACCGAATCGCAGTCGCGAGCGGTTCGAGCATGAGATCAAGAATTTACAGACGCGTCAAAAGGATTCTGGAGCAGCACCTGCCATGCCCATTAGCTCAAACAACGTGGGAAATCGCTTGCTCCAGAAAATGGGTTGGTCAGAGGGTCAAGGACTGGGACGTAAGAATCAGGGACGCACGCAGATCATAGAGGTATTTGGCAATTCCAAATAAATTTTTTCAATGTATTACAATTGGTCATTTCTGTTCATCAGGCTGAGGCTCGTTCGAATAATGTCGGTCTTGGTAACAAGAGCAGCACTTTGGCACCTGGCGACGATTACAAAACGTATATTAAGAAAATGATGAAGTCTCGCTATGAGAATGCTTAAACTCAATTAAATATTTAATATTGTTTAATCACATTTAACTACTTAAGTTTGATATGTCTATATTTCAGTTAGCTGCATACAAATTGTTTACCTCAAATTTCACAAATTTAAATATTGTCATCTACCAGTCACATTACTTAGCTGAAATAATTGTAGTTTAATAATTGTATATAATAAATATATATACATATATGAAACATTCAATGGTGTTTAATTCGAAATGATATGTATCGATAAATAGCCAGTGGCATTTCTTGCGCGAGTATTTTGTGGCTTAGATTGATATTTTCATGTTTGCGAAATGCGGTCACACTTTCTGCGGTAAATTTTGTTTACGTTTTGTGCAACACGTGTATTTATTAACTTTTCTTAATAATTGTATGTATAATTAAAACAAAACTGTGACAAATGAGTTCCAGCAAGCTACCTCCTTTGACCTACAAGGTTGTAGCCGAGTGCTCCGTGTCAAAAGCGCGCGCGGGTCTAATGACACTGAGGTAAGTGTTTTATTCAAGACTGATTTGATTGATTACTTAAGCGAATCCCTCGCAGGCACAGCGAAGTACGCACACCTGTATTTATGCCTGTGGGCACCCAAGGTACCATGAAGGGTATACTACCAGATCAGCTAATCGAACTGGACTGCCAAATATTGCTTGGAAACACTTATCACTTGGGTCTTCGGCCTGGAATTGAAACCTTGCAAAAGGCTGGAGGACTTCACAAATTCATGTCCTGGCCCAGGGCCATCCTGACGGACTCTGGCGGCTTTCAGATGGTCTCGTTGCTGCAGCTGGCGGAGATCGATGAGCATGGCGTTAACTTCCGTTCGCCCTTCGACAATACCGAATGCATGCTAACGCCCGAGCATTCGATGCAAATTCAAAATGCAATTGGAGCGGATATAATGATGCAGCTTGACGATGTGGTGAAGACGACAACGACGGGGCCGAGAGTTGAGGAGGCAATGGAGCGCACCATACGCTGGGTGGATCGCTGCATTAAGGCACACACACGCGATGACGAACAATCCCTGTTTCCTATTGTGCAGGGAGGATTGGAGATTCCTCTGAGAGAGCGCTGCGTCTCGGCGCTGATGGAGAGACAAGTGCGCGGCTTTGCAGTTGGCGGTCTGAGTGGTGGAGAGAGCAAGCACGACTTTTGGCGCATGGTGCACGTCTGCACGGATCATTTGCCCAGGGATAAGCCCCGCTATCTGATGGGCGTGGGCTTTGCCGCGGACCTGGTCGTTTGTGTTGCGCTGGGCATTGATATGTTCGATTGCGTCTTTCCCACGCGTACTGCTCGCTTTGGCTGCGCCTTAGTGGATAGAGGACAGATTAATCTGAAGCAACAGAAGTATAAGCACGATATGGAACCGATCGACAAGCAATGCAATTGCAGTACCTGCAAGAGGTATACCCGCTCCTACCTGCATCACATAGCTACCAATGAGGTCGTCTCGTGCTCGCTGCTCAGCGTTCACAATGTGGCCTATCAGCTTCGTCTGATGCGCTCTATGCGGGAGGCGGTGCAAGCAGATGCCTTTCCACAATTCGTAAAAGATTTCATGGCGCGACATTTCGGCAGCGAACCGATACCCAGCTGGATTCGAGAGGCTTTGGCTGCGGTCAATATTGAATTGCCGGCAGATGCACAAGAGCAAAGAGTGAACAGCTGATCGCCTAAAGACTTTAGACACTGGTCAGTATTTTAAATTATAATCAGCTGACTTATATGCAAACAATGTTAATACATATATATATGTATATATATATTAAAATGCGATGGTTTTAACTTTTGAGCTAAAAATAACAAAAGAGTTTTTGTCAACATTTTCCCTTGCGGAATAATGGCATTATTACCCACACTAGTATTGAATAAAAAAATACACTTAAATATTTATAATTCAAAGAGAGTATTCAATAGTCGTTTATTACATTCTATTCTCTTAATGCAAAGCTTACCTCGAATAGTCTGACGTAAAAGCTCATCGCTTACCTATGGGAAAAAGCTACCGCACACAAATGACGCATGCGAATAATCGAACGCCGCATCAAATACGATCAATTCATATACAATATGTGTACGTTATTTTCGCTTTTCTTTAAATGTAACCACACATACATATGTAAATGGCAAATTTGTATATGCGCGTGTCGCTGTGTGTGTTGTCTGCTGTTCTAATATTGCCTTCTCCTCCCCCACAAGAAACGTGCGCTTTTTTGGCTATTACTCTCTTTGTTCTTTACACTGAGCTCTCTGGCTCTCACCGTGAGAGTCTTATGTATGCGTCAGAGACGAAGATCAACGGGCATTTTCAACAGTTGCGGACACATTGGCCGATTCAGTGTGTCTCAAAGCGTCGTCGTCGTCGGTGATCGCGTGGTTGTTGTCGTTGGCGTAGTTGCGCTTTAACGGTCTTTGCAGGCGCTCAGTCTACGCATTTCAGTAAAAATACAGTTCACTCCGTCTTCCAAATCAACGCGCTAATAATAAATAAAAACAAAAATTGTCAAATTTGAAACCAACAACTACCAATTGTAAGATATTATTGTTAATTTATAGCTACAATCAATCACAATAGCTAATGCAAGTGCGTGCGTGAGTGAGTGAGTGAGAGAGCTTGATTGGCTGTTTTTGTTGCTACTGCTGGAGTTTCTTGCGTTCGGTCGTATGTGTGTGAGTCTGTGCTACGTTCTGCTGGTGTTGCCAAATGTGGTCAAAGTAAAATAACAAAAATACATATGTATGTGCATAAAGACACATACAGACACTACCTTTCATATATATGTATATATATGTATTTATTTATGTGTGTTTTTTGTGTGTATGTATTATTCATACATTGTAAAGTGCTTTTATGGCTTGAAATTTTTTGCGAGTTTTTTGTCGCATTTGTTGCGTTTGCACCTCGTTCAGTTCAAGAGCCTCCTGCTTATATTTTTATTGGATAACGATAGCAAGTCAATTTAACGGGTATTTGAACTAACCAATCCGAAAATCATTTGCAAATTAGATGAATTCAAGGCCCATTCAATAGAATTCTATCTTTGCATAGGAAAATTTAAATTTCTTCTTTTTATAATTTTTATTTTGCTTGCCATCGCTTTGCCTGTGTTTTTGAAATTTTCATGGTTTCATTTCTTTAAATAAGTTTTATTTTTAGCACATTCAGTTATTTTTGTGTATATTTTTTTCTCACAAAGTTTTTGCCTCTGTTATTCGTTTGATTATTTTTGAATATTCTTGGCGTTTCTTTGGAATATATGTGCATACACCTATACACATACACTTTATGTGTGTGCGAAGAGATTTGTGTATTTAATGTTTTGGTTACACGTAAAATATGTGGAAAAGGCCTTTAGCAGGCACTAGAAGCCGATTGGGTAGATTCCAATAAGAACTGTGAGTCTAATTGAAAACGGAATACTTTTAACCATTTCATACTGAATAACAGTGCTAACACAATATTGACAATAAAATATAAACAGTGCTTATGATGGAGCAGAATTAATTAGAATTAAAGATAAAGTGAGAAAAGAAATAACAATAAGAGTCTGCTTATAAATGTTTGTGTGTAAGGGAGAGTCACGACAAATGGCAAATTACCAATAAGAGAGTCAAATGCTGCCAATCATAATGATGATCATACATACATATACATATGCAGACTTATGCATATGCAGAGCGTCAAATCTTTACCGTTAGAAGTATATTTGTATTTTTAAATTATGACACACTAGATAGCCACACTTTGCGTGCTATCGCTATCGCTCTCTTTTACTTATGCTCTCGCAGCACTTAGCTTAACTCTTTGAACAGCTGCTGAGTGGGCGGCGCAGACGTAGGCGCTGGCCGGTGGCGTTTTTGTTGTTGTTTGTTTTTGTTGTATTTCTTGTTGTTGTCGACTTCAAAATTTGCTACACATGATTTAAATGAGCCGCTAAAGCGCTGTTCGCCGTAAATAAGCAGAGAGCGTGATATAAAGACGAAGAACAAATTAAGCGCATGCTAAACGTAAGGCATTTTCGTTAGAGAGAAACAGAAAGAAAGAGAGAGGAGAGGAAAGCACTGTATGAAGGAAATGAACTGATGAACAAATTAAGCGAATATTAATCGCAAGCCGTTTGGCAATGAAAGAGAAGAGACGATAAGAGCGAAGAGGTGAACATCATGTTAAGGAAATGAACTTTAAAGCTTTTGTCAGTTATTTATATTGATTGATTACAATTTATGGTTGCTGTTATTGACACGTTACTTCTTACACGTGCTCAAATCAAATCCACATGATTAATTAAAATTGATATTATTTTTATATTTCATTTTCATCAGGAAGCATTGATTAAAAATATAAAGTGCAAAATGTTTATATTGCCAATCAAATTATTTTTATATATATATATTTTTCGTGCTCTAAAAAAACACCAAAACTAAAAACAAGTTTTTATAGGCGTATGCAAATTTTTTGTGTCCAAAATTCCATAAATTCTTTAACAAGTTTGATGATCTTTTTCTCTGCTCTCTAAAAGATGTTCTAAACTGTTTATAGTTTCTAAAATGTAATAAAAACGTAAATTAAATTTTTTCATATTTCCAAATCTAATTGTAGATGGTGACTAAAACGTAAAGATTTGCACACATAAAATTGTTAAAGAAGGCCTTTCGAATTATGTGATTCATGTTTTCTCCAAAAATAAAGAGAAATATTATTTTTGGCCACGTGGGAGTCTGTACTATCCAAAGCTTTTACCTTTCTGTTTATGCTTAGTCATTTGTTGACTATTTATGTAACGGATTTGGGGCTTAACAAACGCCCACAGTAAAAATTTCTGGACTTCAATTTTCGCATAATAATAATTTTTATTATTTTTTAATATTTTATAAAAATATTTGTAGTAATTTTTAGCGAAACGTGGGTGAATAAACTTCACGCTGCTTGATTTTGTGTTTAGCCTAACTCAAATCAACAACCAAAAATCAGCAACAATCATCTACAACAACAACAAAAACAAAAACAAAATGTGGTTGTCAATGAATGAAGCTGTTGTTGACTTTGAATCGGAGAGCGAGAGTGAATGAAGGCATTTTGTCTGCCAATTTGAATGCGAAGCGAGTTGGTCAAGAAAGATGTAAAAAACCAAAAACAAGTTCGTTAACCTTGAAACAAGCTAAAATTGTAGTGTTGTGCAGTGCCTTAAGTGTTGACTAATGAAATTTGCAAGAGTTGTGCTCCAATAAATGTGTCAGACTTCCGTTAGCGAGATAAGACAATAAGTGAGATAATATCTATATAGATTATAATAAATGTAAACTGTGCATATAATAATGATTTTTGAAGTCAACTACTAAATATTAAATTAAGGATCGTAGAAGTAATTTTTTAAGCTTCAACTAAATATCAATAGACTGAAATAATAATGGAATAAGTTAGAGTGCTGTGAATACTACTTAGGTTTATATAAGTGATATATAATGTATTTCCTTTAAGTATATGCTCCTGGTTTTGGCTCTAAGTATTTCTCCGAAGTATTTTTAAAAGTATTTCCTCTAAGTATTTCCTCTTAGTTCTTCCTCTTTGTGTTTCGTCAAAGTATATCCTCTAAAAATTTCCTCTACGTATTTTCTCTATATATTTCCTGTAAGTATGTCTTCCAAGCATTTTCTCTAAGTCTTCAATTTTTAGCTGAACGATTATGCCCTTCCCTTCACTTTACTGCACTGCACGATTGACTCCCACCAGGCCTGGGCGACTGAAGAAGTGCTGCAGCTGCCTCCCTTTATATAGGGCGACTTTCACTCAAAGCCTTGCTCGCTCTCAAGTATTAAACCCGACGTCAGGTAGGGATCGTTGCAGTTGAGCATTAACTGACCAATGAGAACATCCTCTGCTGCTGCAAGTATTCTAGCTTCGTTTTTTTTTAATACCGAATGAATACTATAGCATACATATAGAGAGCAAAAATGATCTTCGTCTCTTGCTTTTGTTGGGCAGAGAGACAGACAGAGTTACGAACAGTTATATAGGTAAGGACGCACACATTCAAATTCAATGCATGTCATACTGTTACTTTACAGTTACTATTTAATGGTGTTTTAAAAGAATATATAAATATTTAGGGGAATAAAAACAATAAACATACTTATTTTACAAATATATAGAATAAAACCATAAATAGTTATTTATAATAATATTAATATATTAGCGGAAGATGTAAACAAAAATATGTATTTAAATATTTGTTGTATTTTGTTTTTTATTGAAAACTTTATATTGCTTCTTAAGAAGTTAAATTTTTAGCATAAATTAATAAATTAGGCTGATTAAAGCTCACATGGCTTCAAGTTTTT